ATGCCGCTTAGATGTTGAATCACCAGAGCATCTTCTTTTATCTTGCCCTCTGACTAATCAAATTGTATGTAGATACTTTGAAACATTACCAAATTCTCTTTGTGTATATACTCTATCTTATGAGAACTTTGTTAAGTTTAGAACTATTTGTACAATAATTTACAAAACAATACTAATCCATCGTGTAAATAATTAATCATATATATATAAATAATACTAGCACAGCACAATAGTCCTTTGGACTTCGTGCTTTTGTAACAATAAATAAAATTTAAAAAAAAATTATATATATATATATCATAATATATAGTGGAATTTAATATATCCATGATGAACCGGAGATTACTGAATTATAACATAAATTAATATTTTTCTTGAATTTATCTAGTTTTTTTTTTTTTGTAATTCCAAGGAGGTTTGAGCTAAAAATCTGGATTTTTAAGCTTATTCTTCCATTTAGGTCATGAACAATTCCTGAAATAATCAAATCTCAACTTCCAGTAGTTTCCTAGTTGAAATTGTGCATCACCCACAGACAGCCGGACAGACGTATTCATATAGATGTGTGTGATAATAATTATTATATATCATAGAACACACACAACGGACTAATACAAGTAGTGTAATATTATATTTCAAAAAGCTGTGCGCTTTTATTCTACATTCAAAAAAAAGTTAAACACGAGTCGCGTTCATTCTCATGCTACAAGGAACAGTATTGCTGGGTTAAAGTATCTTAAGTTTGTAATAAACCGGGAGGATTTCTGAGTTTAGTTGAGATATGATTAACGTCGGTATAACTCTCCAGTTAGGGATATTTAGGATTGTATGTTTGACCAAGAGGGACAATTTTTCTGTAATGGTGATCTAAGCTACTTGACGTCTTCTTCAAGTGACTTTCTCCAATATAGATGACAGGGCAGGAATTAGGGACAATTTTCTCCTTTAAAAAGCCTTTAATAAACCTTTGTTTAAATATTATTTTTGGTAAACATTTTTTTCCCTCGGACAGAAGCCGGGTCATTCGGCTAGTTTCTGATAAAATAGATTTGGCCAGAAAAGAGGTTTTATTCTGTTTTTATTGAGAAATAAAATATAGCTTCTATCCCAAGTGTCATTTTTCTTAATAAATATGATGACATTCCAGTCAACTTCCATCTTTGAGGTTATTGAGTCTAATTACGTTTTAGTTTTTCATCAATTGTGTCCGCGACTGATTTAATATACTAAAAGTGTGATTTAGTTTTTCGGCCTTTCTGACAGATTGAACAATGAAGATGTCCTTAAAATCACCGCTGAGGGATATGGCCTACAGGTGAAGATTGAGAGGAGGAGCATGTTTGGTCATCTTGTCCGACACTCAAGAGTGGACAGAGGTATTGCTTGGGGGATGTATGGAAGAAAGAGCAGGAAAGCCGAGAATGAAATTCATAGACAATTTCGGGAGAAGACTTTGCGATACCTTCAAAGAGTAGCCATTTAAAGCTTTGAGAAGACAGGAATACTGCTAGCTACTAACCGAAGGGTCGATGAGAAATATAATAATAGCCTTTGGAAACACCCACAACTAGCCAATGTACAGAAACCCCCTTCCAATATTTGGTCAGACTCCAAGAGCAACCTCAGTTTTGAGAAATCTTTATTTTGCTGGCTTTGTTGATAATCAGTGGTCGTAAAATTTATTCGGAATTCGAATCGTAGTCTCATATCAGCGAATAAATAAAAAGAAACACATAAAAATTGGCCATTAAGCTAGGCAATTAATTATTCCCTTTGTGATAAATCAGGGAGCGAGGCAGTAATTAGTGGGACTCATTAGCGACTCACACTGCGGATGGCTACACACCAGCAGCTCCAACCGTGGCGCGACGGAAAAAAACCTAAAGTTCGTTATCCATCAAGAAGTCGGGTAAATAGGGTAAACTATAAGCATGATATTTCGCTAACAGAGATGTTGTCATTATGTAATTAAACTAAATGTTATCTTGTTTGATTGTTTAACCAAAATATTCCATAGAGAGAGAGGAATATATTATTTTTTCAGGACCAAAATAGCGAATTTACGGACGAAACATCAACAGGCAGTCAGACCAAATTACTGGAAAGAAACTATAGTAAAAATGTCAATCGATATGGTCTAGGTGACTGACAAATCAATTCGGTCGCACAGCAATACTGTGGTTTAGCTATTTGTTGGCCTTGTTTTTTCTGATCCTCAGGTACAATCTGACTTCAGACAATCTCTCTATTCGCTATAGAAGGAGAAACACAAGTCGGGGAGAAGAGATTCTTTATATAGGACGACGATCGCACAAGCTTTCAGGAAAGACGCCCACTCGTGTCATTTTGTACCCGCAGAAGGAGGTCTTGCCCGAATGCTTGTACGATCGCACAAGCTTTCAGGAAAGACGCCCACTCGTGTTATTTTGTACCCGCAGAAGGAGGTCTTGCCCGAATGCTTGTACGATCGCACAAGCTTTCAGGAAAGACGCCCACTCGTGTCATTTTGTACCCGCAGAAGGAGGTCTTGCCCGAATGCTTGTACGATCGCACAAGCTTTCAGGAAAGACGCCCACTCGTGTCATTTTGTACCCGCAGAAGGAGGTCTTGCCCGAATGCTTGTACGATGGTACTCTTCTATAAAGAAGCTTTTCTCCCCGACTTGTGTTTCTTCTACTACAATTTGACTTGGTTCATCTCTAATTTCTTTAGTTTGCATCTGATCCATGTTAAGGGTTCCTTAGAGATGCCCTGTGTTGTATCGAGGACAGCACCATTTGAAATAGATATAGAGTATATGAAATTTTTGTATAAAATGTGTTATCTCTCTTGTGTGTGCGTGGGGATCATGAATATAAAAAAAGGAATTAATATATATGAGCTCCGACATAGTTCAAGGATCACAAGCGAAAGACCTGCCAAACTAAATAATTAGATACATCTCTAGGTATCTGAGATGAAAAGTTTTGTCCCCGTGTCGTATGTCGAACATTTATTATCAACATCCTGAGATATATTAAATGTATATATTATATGCCTGCAGCATTTCAATTCTTCTCTAATATACCTCTGAATATTTAATAATGTTTATAGTTTTAGTGTCACATAGAAAGTAGGTTTCCGTTACTGTGTTGTGATTAGGAAAACGAAACCCTCGTACAAGTAAACGTACAACTGACCCTCCCTGAAGTGTCATCTGTCGATAAGTTTCCACTGAAATAGACATACAAGATCTATAAAGTGACCACTTAGGCTTGGAATATAGGATGGTTGTCTATGACTGTAAATTGTATAGTATGTATTCGGTGTCACTTGGAAGGTCCTTAGGTTTCTGTGAGCTATATAGCAACACAGAAGTGTAACAAGGTAAGGTGAGATTCAAGCATCGGTGGAAGAATAATGTAATTCACCATCTAATTAAAGCCATTCGTTTGAACAGAATGGTAAAGCAGCGAAGAATACTAAGTTCGCCTTCTCACCCAAGCACGCAACACCGATTCCAGCTAACGTCAAGGTAACACAGTGGGAACCCACTGAAAGAAACGACAAGTTGCGACCACAGCACATAGAGACTAGCCTCAGCCATCGACACAGCAAATCTACCGAATTCCAATCCGTGAATGAACAACCAACCAGGAAATCTAGGAACAAATGTTTCTTTCTACAGATTACAACATATGTGCGCCTAACTGCACACGTAGAAACTAAAACATAACGTGACAAAGATCAATAGAAAAAACGCACTGGATAATTAAATAAAAATATTTATCTTCTTTTAGATCTGGGAAAACGAAGTGTCTGGAGCTTAAGAAGGCAATGCAACGTGGTAAACTAACTCAAGGAACACTTCAATCTCACACAACTCTGAAACACAGAAAATCAGCCTCCAGAGGAGAAGATATTGTCATTACTGAAATATACCACAGACAATATAAGGAGATAATAAACACCCTAGACCAGGGGTCGGCAATCTTTTGAGACGGAAGAGTTAAAAATTACAATTTACAAAATTTCAAAGGTTTTAAAGAGCCACAACATTTTTTTTTAATTTCCAACAATAAATAGTACTCACATAAATAATATTTACGTATAGAACTATAGAAAGAGCCGCAGGTTCACATCCAAAGAGCCGCATGTGGCTCGCGAGCTCAGTTTACCGACCCCTGGTCTAGACGTCTCCAGAAATGCCGCGGATAGATGGCTTGTAGAGAAGGTATCTCGCACTGAAATGATGGATTTCCTCAGAAGATCCGAGCAGAAGTCTGCTATAGATAACTTCCTTGTAAATGTTATTGCACATATCGTGGACAAAACTTACATATTTACAAGAGGCTCACCACCTTTTAGGGCAGCAGGCAACCGTGGAAGTGTTCCAGACGATCCTAAAAGATTCGTCTGATGTTTATATTTTAAATGTTCTTTTTTTTTTTTTTTTTTTCATTTTACTTTCCGTTGACAAGATATCAATAAAATCATTTTATTAATATGATGCATTATATATTTATATGTATTTCTACTGTCCTTAAAGCTTATGTCCATAGTTAATTTAAAACACCCTTTCCAAGAGTCTAGCATCAGTATCAGTATAAAAGGAAAACAGAAAAATGCAATATTACAACGGTATGGTAGATTAAACTGGCGAAACCGCTGGGAAGATTCACCACTAATGAGTCAGTCCCTCCCATTATTTTATCATTGCAGTAAGGGCAGTAGAAAATTGTTTTAATTCAAAAAGAATCATACGCGTCAAAAATAGTTCAAATTTTTAAAAAATCGTTTTAATTGTCAATTATCTCTCTCTCTCTCTTTCTCTTGGTAGAATCCGGATTCCTGGAGCGTAACTCGCATCTTATCTAATCACTATCTTATCTAATATAATCTTATTTAATCACTAAATCTTATCACATCTAATTATGTGCAACCCGGACTTCTTGAGCCACGTACAGTCGCAAACTCCAACAACAAACACAGAAACAACAATTGATTTCTCCTGCATGTATGAATTAACCAACAGAACTCCCAAGTGGTCACCCTCCCAAGTACTGACCAGGCCAAACGTTGCTTAACTTCGGTGATCGGTGTTTTCACCGTTTTGTATGGCCGTAATTAGCATCTTATTTGTACGCCACTTTATATATACAAACACGACCGTCATCACCCACCCGTTATCAACTAAACAAAAACATTTTGAATGAATTATATTAACGAATAGATTCAAGAAGGATAAGTTTCTTTATTTGAAAAATCAATTCGAGCTTTCGAGCGCAAGCTGCCCTTCTACAGGAATAATAGATACAATTTTAAGTAGTCATGTATGTACAGATATAAATATATATTTTAAAATGGTTTCTCGCTTTGTTCTTGTAGAGCGTGAGTGGATCTCATACCCACGTGATTTAGTTTAACTCAAAGAAAAGCCTAGATAAAGAGAGGCGTGTTGCCCCTAGAAATACTAGCTGATTAATAATTTATATCCAGTATATGCCCAATATTTATTTATACATATATATATAAGCTATTTTTTGCATATCTAGGATTATTTATGAAGTTTTATATTTTATTATTTAAGAAAAATTATTGCTATGTAAATTAGTCAATTGGTTATTATTATTATATGCTAATTGTTAAGTGGTGTGATGAAGAGAAAACGGATAATTCTATTTTAGTTTTTGGACCAGCCTATCATATGTCTCCGGGATATCTATGTGTCTATTTATATGTGTCTATTTATACTATTTATATCTTTTGTATTTAAAATATATATTTTTTTTCTTCAGAAAAACCATACCAAAAATTTTAATTCAATATTTTGAATGAATGCAGATATACGTTCACAGAAACGTCGTCAAAGCTGACAGAGCAGCCGGGGGTGGTAGACGCCACCTGGGGTCTGGGCAGGTGACGAACACTTCCTGCGGCGCCATCTGGCGGGCAGATGGTGGCGGACGGATGCCTCCACTCGGGGATGTTCCCTCCTTCGGATTGTTGGAGAAGACAACCTTTATCTCTGTACCTTCCTCTCTTGTATTCCTTGTGTTTGTTATTCTGTGGAGTAATTCCACTCAGTCTCTATATTCAGTATCCACAGAGTGGGCATTTTCCATAGTTAATTAAATCAAAGGGACCGGGGTACTTTTAACAACATAGCAAGTGATTAAATTGAGGTACGAGAATATTTAATAACACGTCGACATATATAATTGGTGGTCAGTTTATATATATACCATCCTCCCTGCAGTCCTGACACCTCGCTTCCTCAGATTGGTTTTTATTTTATGTAAAAAGCTATATTGCACAACAGAGAATACTCCATTCGTTTTTTTTTTTTTTTTCTTCAGAAAAACCATACCAAAATTTTCAGTGAGGGGGTTACAATATGCCATCTTTGCAAATTAAAAATATAAATTGAAATATCTCATTACATCTTTGAGAGTTAGAATATTAACGAAGAAAGAGAGATGTTCTTCTCAAAGGTAAACGACAGCCAACTTATCTCAGTGCAAAGTATTTTAACCAGCGCCGTATCAAGTCGAATGGTTGCTCTGTCCCTATACAACTTTTACAAAGAAGTAAATAGGAAAAATAAATTGGATTTATCGTTTTCTCCTCCACTACATGATGGTGATTGATCATCGTGGGGATATGGTTGCAAGCCGGCAATGTGAGAGGAGAATCTGTATACGACTGGTGTCTTAATAAAGACTTTGTGTGGGTTTTAAATTTGGCTGCTGGAAGAGAGTAAAATATTTTATGATGATGACGTGGTAATTGACACGGTGAAAATTTGTTCACCAACTTACAGAAAAAAGGCCTTTAAGGATGACCTGATAAATAGATAGAAACTATGCGTTGAGATGCAGGAATATAAAAAAATATTGAAAATAAATTTTATCTATTTTACTCTCCTAATAGTTGCTGATCTCCACCTTGGTATTATATAATTCATATATTTAGGTAAGTAAAAATAAAGGTCATCTCTCCCATCAAAATGGCGCTAAGTCAAAACTATTGACCATCTCCAAGTGAACTCGGGTCGGTGCTTAGATTTAGCGTTTATTTTGAAGGAAGAGGTGACCTTTATTTTTATAAATCAATATCCTCCCTGTAAAAATTGCATCGACATTTGGAGATGTGTCAGGTCGCGCCACTCACCAGAGAAGAGAAGAAAGAAGTCTATGAAGTCAGAACTCCCATGTCGTCCGTCTAACTCATTCTACCTAGAGACCTGGAAACACACACACATTCCGTTGTACAGTACACAACAATGTAAATGTCCATCAAAGGCTAGGAACATATGCTCAGCACCCACAAACATCTGGCTACAAAATATAGTACTTTAGGCTTGTCAGGAGGAAGGCGCTTTTCTGTTCAGCTCATGGAAAAACATTCTAAAACAACGATACGTGACATAGCAGCATCTTCAGACCTACCAGCACAACTTAGTTGACACGAGGGCTTACATCCCGATGATACAATCACTAGAGTGCCTGAAACATATTTGCATATTGGGTGTATTGAATCCTACTTCAAATTACCACCACGAATCACGATAACATATTTTATTAATTACTGTTTTTTAATATCAATTTATTTCTTTCTCTCAAATTATTTCTTTCTTGAAGAATTCCCAATCTTAGCTTTTTATTTAGCATAAGTACTTTTCTCTCCTAGTAATTTCAAATACGATTTTTTCAAAAGTTGAATGGAGACCGTAAATAGAGTTTTTAACCTTCCTCATAGATATTTTCGAATTTTTCCGTTTCATTTCCGACTAATATGTTCTAATATACTATAGAGGAATAGAGAGGTCATACAATATTTCATAAACAACTTCCAGAACAGATTATTTATGGGAGAGAGATATAAAAAACGACACATTAGCGCATTTTATTAACTGTTTGACTATTTCAGCATTTTCTACTTGCTCACTCGCGATGAGAATTCAATCATTTGGAATATTTTAATTGATTTATATTTTAAATTATAGAACCATGCCCAATATATTTGATTAAAAATGTATCACCATTGTGGATCAGAGCTTATATTTTAAAACAATAAAACCTGATTTTTTGAAGGCTTGTAAATAATAATTATAGATAATATATTGTATAAATATTGTAGACAATAATTATAGATAGTATAATAAATAGAATATATAATATGCATGCTAGTATTTGAAGCAAATTACTTAATTATATAGGAAGAATATATAAGATATATTCATATTTAAATTTAATTTTTGACAGTTTTTGCTTGTAATTCCAAAGAGGATTAAGATATAAACCTGAATTTTTGGATTTCTTCCTTTGCTGGGATTTGAGACTTGATTTTTTTCAGAGATTGTTCATGTCCGGAAAGACAAAATCGTACATCATAGACAAATAGAGACATAGTTTTTATATAGATGATTATTTGAAAACTAAAATATTATAATTTGCATGTTCATCGCGGCATTAAAAGATATTTATAAGAATTGTTTTTAATTCTCCCTTGAATATAATTAATATTACTTTTGAGAAACGGGAAATGTTTATATTCAAATCCGAGATGAAATTGTAAGACTTGAGGTGGAGAACGGCAAGTTGTACAGCGATGGTTTAACTGCAAAGTCTGAAGAAAACGACGAAGTGTTTCCCAATGTGGCTAAGAAACACAATAGAAAATGAGAATCTTTTGTAAATGATTCAATAATGAAAAGAATGGGAGTTTTTCTTGAGAATGGTTTGCCAGAAAGTTGAGAAAGAGGTGCGGCTCGAAAGGCCCATGGTGACACAAGAAGTGGCGTGTGTTGACGCCACGCGCAGGCCACGCGACGTCGATTACCGCCGTCGGGAGGATGTCTGGCTGGTCAGCCAAGTGTGACCGACCGTCCACCTCCTTTACTGGCCGCTCGGCTGTACCCACTCTCATGGGGATATGTCGTAGGACATAGGAATGTGCTCTCTTTCAGGTATAAAAGGAGCGCTATAATGTTTACAAAATAAACACGCTGTGTGTGTGTTAACTTTTTAAGATTATTGACTTTAAAACAATTCTTTTATCAATCAATAATTCGAAACAAATGTCCGGTATCATCTCGGCTGTACCTACTCTCCTGGGAATATGTCGCAGGACCTTGTAGGAGATCTTACTTTACTCTTTACTTATTAGGGTACAAGAGTGTAGCAGTAAGAAGAGTGGGAAATTGACTTGCCCAGATCCAAGTTACCACACCCGAGGTACAAAAGCAACACTTAATTCAATTGCCATCTATCGTTAAAATTTGTATTTTTTTTTTTTTTGGCGCAATGTGTTTCTTTCCATATATATATATCATCAAATATTATCTCTACAGACCTTGCTTCAATGATAAAATTTATTGATTGAGAGGGTTTTCCTCATCAGTGGTGAACCCAATCTGCGATTTTGCCAAATTAATCTCCAGACCGCTCTACTAAGTCAATCCAATACGTAGAGAGGTCTGAAGTTTAATTTGGCAGAACCGCTGAGAGGGTTCGCCACTGATGAGCCCAAACCCTCTCATTCAATAACTTTTATCTATACAGTAAGGTCTGTAGAGATAATATTTGATGATGTGTGGAAAGAAACATTATCTTAAACAGGTGTATTACACTTTTTAAAAAAATAATTATTGATTGAAAAAAGAATTGTTTTTAAGTCAATAATCTTAAAAGGTTTTTTTTTTAAACATTGCGTCTTAATTTTGTATAAACATTATAGCGTTCCTTTTATACCTAGGGGAGAGCACATTCTTATCTCAATTTTACTAAAACTGAGCGAAACAATGATCTAAGAAACAGATATCCGTTCTCATCTAGAGAACTAGCATTGCCAATCTAAAGCCTAATTAAAGGTTTGCCTTGATATTTGTTAGCATTATATTAGTATCATTAACATCATTATCTTTATATATAGGATGAAGCATTACCGTATATATTCTAACACAATTAAATATCTTTGTTACGCTAAGTAAATATTAAATCAATTGTAAAAATCACGCACGGACCTTTTATATTTCGATGTAGTGAATTAATTCAAAAGTTAATTAACTTTAATGAAACAAAGGTGAAAATGGCTGAAGACCTGAAGCAGTCCATGTACATA